AAGTGGAAGGAAATAGAAATGCGTTGCACATCTGTTTTTTTTTTACAGTCTATGGTTTTGCTGTATACGTATATCGTAAGCGTTTGCATCAAAACTGAAGTGCACTTCAGTAATTGTTCTTTTGTGTTTACCTCCCTGGCTTGCTATCTGTGTCAAACGGTTTGTCAGCAGTATCTTCATCAAGGGGCCTGTCCAAGCGTCGTGGGGTGTACATGCGTTCCCTCTGGCAGGATACAGTTTCAACATTTTCATCATGTTTTGTATTGTTCACGGGCCATGACTCGGTTCATCCGGCCTGCCTGTTTGACCCAGAGTTGAACTAGAGTTTAAATGTTAATTAACTCTATTTTGGAATCCCATGCAGCCCTGTTGAACAATTCAAGCCTTTTTCGAACAGACAAGGCAGTTTATGAATATTCAATCATGTGGAGTGCTGGTAGGGGGCAAAGCAGGGTTGTCTAAAATCAACTTGAACTCTCAGTTCTTTTTCACCAGAGAAACCAACCCAGCAGAATGGAAAATGTATGGCCATGTAACCTTTGACTGACAGGTTCTTTCAGACACACAGAGTTTGATTCACGCATAGCCTTGTGGCACATGCATTGTTCTTAATATAATGTTATTATTATTAAAATCTTTACTGTTCTACTGAATGAAAAAAAGTCATTTTGTCAAAAAAGTAAATTTACAGCATATTTTAATTTTTGGGTGAACTTTCCCTTTAAGATGGCAGGATAATAATAATATATATAATATTTTATTTAGAATTGTGTAATTAATTCTGCCTATAATATTTAATATAAGACATATATTTATTTATATATGCATATAAACTATTTTTTATCCATAGTCATATTTAATTTCTGCAGAATGTATATATAAGATGTATTTTTCACAATTTTAATGTGGATCTGACTGAAGTGCAGATTGTAATCATGAGTTTAATTCTATTTACACCCATCAGGAATTTCTCATAAAATATTCTCATTTACTGTACATTTCCCTTCTGGATTGCTTGCTTTGCGTTTGCCTTTGAAGACGTGACGTGTTTAACTGAGACAGGAACAGCCACAAATGATCTCACTGAGACTCTCAGTATTCACAATTAGATTGAATTAACAAATATGCGCCCACATTCACTAGTCAATAATGCTTCAAAATTAGCAATTAACCAATGACACAAAAAATCAGCAAAATATCCTGAATCACCAAAAATGAAACTGAACATGCTCAGTAATTGCTTGATCTGTCACAGTTGCTCAAAGCCAAACCACCTGAGGTCACATTAGTGCCGACATGCATCTCTATTCTCTCCTGGAACACAAATGAAACACTGGGTCAAGCAGAGTTCACAAGACAGAAGTCTGGTACGTGAAACTTTTCCTGGAGCATCTGAACAGAAGTTTGTTTAAAATAGATAGGAATGTAAGCAATGTGAATAATGTTACATCATTTCCTCTTGAAGACACTTTCCTTATAACACCAAAGCGATCTCACTTTCCATTAGTGCTAATCTATGGCATTTGAGGAGCTCCACAAACGGTTGGCCATGGCCGTTGATGATTTCAATATGATTTCCATATCAGTTTCTCTGTACGGCGTAACAGCGACACTATACCTCCACATGCTTGGCCTGCTTTGAGTCTGGTGGATATCAGGTACTAGGACAGGTGTTGCTTTACATACCTCAGTCAACTCGCTGAGAAAACGCCTGCCTCGATCATTTGTGTGGGAAGCTCGACTCAGGACACAAACCTTAAATGTCTGCCAAAATGTGAGCCATTTGGTTTCGGAACATTACCTGTTTGGATTTTACTGGATATAGCCCATTTCAGGCAATGTTCAACAATACTGATACACGTATTTCAAATGCTGTTAATTTATAAATTTTTAGAACTTTTTTTGTGATACTTACAATGTTTAAAGGTAAAGTGTGTGGTTTTCTCAATGTTAAAATACTTGCTCCCAACTTAATGTGCAGATACTGAACCGTTAGTAGGTTGTTTTTCCAGAAAAAAGTAACACTTTGGCTTTATATGGCTATCAGAACTACAGCTCTGCGCGGCAATATTCGCTCAACCAATGGTGTGAGTTTGGGGGGGCGTGGCTACCGCTTTCTCGACCAATGAAAGATGGGGGAGTGTTCGGGAAACCTGTGTGAAACAATCGTTATGCTAGTGGAGCAGAAAGCGTACACTTCAGCTTTAATGATTTTTGTTGCATTTGCAGGAAGTCAGTTTCGCTGTTGGCTATAGTTTGCTGCCATAATGTTTTAACGCATATCTATAGGCTGTTGCATCAGTCCAGGGCTACAGCAGAGCACAAACGCTTGGTCTCAAACACGAGGCAGGTTTCAGCCTCCGCCTCATAAAAGTGTTCTTTGTCTTTTGCTCGAGCTCATTAGCTCTGTCCCTTGTGAACGAGTGTCAGGTTCTTCTGACTTATAAACTTTCTCAATGTTAAAATACTTGCTCCCAACTTAATGTGCAGATACTGAACCGTTAGTAGGTTGTTTTTCCAGAAAAAAGTAACACTTTGGCTTTATATGGCTATCAGAACTACAGCTCTGCGCGGCAATATTCGCTCAACCAATGGTGTGAGTTTGGGGGGGCGTGGCTACCGCTTTCTCGACCAATGAAAGATGGGGGAGTGTTCGGGAAACCTGTGTGAAACAATCGTTATGCTAGTGGAGCAGAAAGCGTACACTTCAGCTTTAATGATTTTTGTTGCATTTGCAGGAAGTCAGTTTCGCTATAGTTTGCTGCCATAATGTTTTAACGCATATCTATAGGCTGTTGCATCAGTCCAGGGCTACAGCAGAGCACGAACGCTTGGTATCAAACACGAGGCAGGTTTCAGCCTCCGCCTCATAAAAGTGTTCTTTGTCTTTTGCTCGAGCTCATTAGCTCTGTCCCTTGTGAACGAGTGTCAGGTTCTTCTGACTTATAAACAATTCATTATGAGTACCACCATTAGTCACCTGCTGACTGAAGACAATGTGCTGGCTGTAAAAACTCCTAAATATCAGCTGAGAAATATTACAAAGACTGAAGACTCCACTGTTCAGAGATAGCAAATGAGAAAAAATTGAATGAATCAAAATAAAACAATTCTACAAGGCTTGATGATGAGATTATTACAGAGAGGCTGCCGCAAAAGTGATGAAAGACCCTGGAAAACAAACACAGCAGCTTTGGTGCAGCAGTACAGCAGACATGCAGTGACCAGCAAGATAAAAAACTGTAAGTTTCTACTGCCTCTACATGGTCATAGGAAGGCACTGCATTTAATAATCATTTTTTAACTGTAAAATAATGTCATGTCTTAAAATATTAGGACTTGTTTAAAACGACTAATACACTCTAAAAAATGCTGGGTTAAATACAACCCAGTGCTGGGTAAAATAGGGACAAACCCAGCAATTGGGTTGTTTTGGCCCAGCGTGCTGGGTAAAATAGGGACAAACCCAGCAATTGGGTTGTTTTGACCCAGCGTGCTGGGTAAAATAGGGGCAAACCCAGCAATTGGGTTGTTTTGGTCAAAACAACCCAATTGCTGGGTCTGCCCCTATTTTACCCAGCACTGGGTTGTATTTAACCCAGCATTTTTAAGAGTGTAATGATTAATCTCATGATTTGAAGTTTTTAAGGCAAATATACAGGCTTCCTGAATATTCATAAAACTTGAGCAGGAATTTCTCTTTGTAGATTTCATTCATGAATATCTGTGCAAAAATGTACCAGAGAAGTAAAGATAATTTACGTAAGAATTCAGATTGCAGAAATTGATTCTGCACGTCACGATGCCCATTTGTATTTTGTTCTATTAAAGGAATAGTATACACTTTTTTTTGTATGGTTCCCAGTGTTCCTCAAAATATCTTTGTGTTCTGCAGACAATTTTCATTTTTACAGCTAGCCATTTAGATGCATGAATGACATTCTTAACAGAATAAGCTTTTTTACTCATTGCGTTTTTTGAGCAATTAAAATTTAGTGCGATTGAGATACTATTATAGGTTTTATTAATAATTTGAATTATTTTTTTCATTTTTATTAATTTTAGATTTTTTAAAATATGCCTAATACTGTATATAGTTTGTATAATTTTCTTTTAAACTATTTTAGAACGTCATTAACCTAAATGAAAATTAGAAATGTTTCCTTGCCATCTGGCTGAAATCAAATGTTTAATGTTTTGTGTATTTCATTTTATTTCAGTGAATATTTAGTTATGGTTTTAGTTTTAATTTGAGCTAATAAGCCTGGTATTAATGTTGAATATCCCATACAAATAAAAGCAAACATTTCTGATATTGTGTTGGCAAAGGAAGTTTAGGAAACATTACGATTTTTTTTGGGGCTGATATTTTTATATTTTAAGCACAGGATAAATACAGAAACAACAAAATGCCATGCAAAATCACCTTTATAACAGAATATGACATTTCCACTGTGCAATATAATTACATTCTGTGAATTCGGTCTCTTTATCTGCTACGAATATTGTGTTTTATAGGTCACATAATACTCCTTACTAATTTGAGGAGATTTATATTAATGCTGTGAATCAGATGTGTTGGACCTTTGTGGCTCTGTGACGTCTGGAAGACGGTGGTGCTGTGTTTGGTATCACATCAATGAAAGCATTTTTAAATCAGTAATTAAAACAAATAAGTCAAATCATGCAACTTGATACACAATTACAAACCACTCAAGTGCTAAAACACTGTAAAATGGATATGAACATATGATAGAGAAAATACAACAAACATCATTAAATACAACTGTTAGAGACTCACATTTGGGTACTTGAAAAATACAATATTTAACAGAAATAGTTTTTTTATACAGCCAGTCATGAGTCACATATTTGATCAGAATATGCTACATTTGGTTGGTTCAACGGAAAATAATAATAGTTGCAAAACAAGTACATGACTTGCACGTTGATCCTAAACTAAAACATTCTCCATACATTTTACAAGTTATTGTCTATTATTTTTTAGAACAAGTAGAAAAATAACACTTTGCGGATCGTTCTGTTGTTTAAAACATTATGCATCTCAAAGACACAGAACAGGATACATGGCACTAAATCATTTCAGAACACTGAGACATGCTCCATAAATCAACAAATAAAAATACTGACTCTATATTTCATAAAAGGCATGGGAACTGTCATGTGTTCGGTATCAGCAATACCAATAAGTTGGGCTTCACTGCTTTGAACAAGGCTTTACTGGCTCATCTTTGTCATCAAGGCACACACACACACACACACACACTTTCACTGTTTCCTTGGCAACCAGGTGTTTGAATAGCAGCTTGAACTTAGGAAGTGCAAACATGTGGTACATGCATGTATCATCCAGCATGAACGAGTCGACATGGTGACAAACGGAGAAGGGCATGGAACCAGTGAAGGTTTGGTTTGACACTGGAAATGGAGACTGGAGGAAGATGAGGAGGATCTTTAGGAGCGCTTTATAGTGTATTTGCCTTTCTGGAGCTGAGAGATGTAAAGCTTTGATTTGCTGCCATCCAGACGTTTGTACCAAACCTCGTCATGGTTAATAGTGGTTATTGTGGCACTGGAGGAAATAAAAAGGCAAAGCATTACACATGGAAGACTTATGTAAGTTCAAGTGTGACAGTGTGGATCTTAAAATGATTCGACTTTTTGATCTATGAACTGTCACTGCGCTCGCCGTCACTTCTCATTTCCATCATAACCAAATATAAACTTCTTTAACTTTCTTGTTCTTTAAAACACTTGACATCGTGGTAATGACTATTGATTCTTTGTTATTTAAAAAAATGCTTTCCAGTGTTTGTGTTCCACACATCAGACATTACTATATTAATATCAAGAACTGTGAATAACAAGCAGCTCAGAAAAAAATTACATACGAAGCATATGTAGTTAATTAGAATTAATTTGTAAATATTTATGCAAATACATGGCAACCTGAATGCTGTCAAATGTGACAAAAGGGCTTACAAATTGTATAAAAAAAAGTGAAATTAATAAAAAAAATTTATTAAAAAAAAAGTTCTTATGTAAAGTGAAAAGTATATTATTTCATCATAAAGAAAACATTTTTAAAAAGTGGAAAATCCCCAAAATAGACACATTCTGGCAAATGTAACAATTCAATGCTCTTAAACTTAGGAAATGTAAAAATTTGTAAATTACAATTTTTTTATAATAATATACTATTATAATAGTACAAATGTATATGTAATTATAGTAAATAATTAATGTATATGTATACGTTATTTTTTTAAATGTTTTTGAAAGAAGTCTCTTATGCTCACCAAGGCTTCATTAATTTAATCAGAAATACAGTATTATTAACAGTAATATTGTGAAATATTATTACAATTTAAAATAGCTCTTTTTTTATTTGTAATATATTTTAAAATGTAATTTATTCCTGAGATGCAAAGTTGTATTTTCAGCATCATTACTCCAGTCTTCAGTGTCACATGATCCTTCAGAAGCTGATTTGCTGCTCGAGAAACATTTCTTAATATTATTATAATAAATGTTGGAAACAGCTGGCCTGCCTATATATATATATATATATGTGTGTGTATGTATGCATGTTGTTGTTGTTTTTTTGTGGATAAAGTAAAAAAAAAAAATTCATGGAGAACAATTTGATGTGTCCTTGATTAATAAAAGTTATTTTAATTTCTTTTATTACTTAAAGCAATTTTGAAGATAAATTACCCTTGGGGGCAGAAAAGTTGATGAATCACTCATATGCTTAAACACACACGCACAAACACACACGCGCTCACACACACAAACACACACACAAACAAACACACACACACACAGTGTGCGAACTACGGGGGAGCTCAGCTCCCCTTAATCAGACATGGGCTCCCCTGAAAACGTGATTTGTGAAATTTTGCGCAATTTCAGTTTTGTGTAATGTGATCATCGTGGATTATTATGTGTAAAATTGCAAAAATATCATTCATTCATGCATGACGGCGATTTAAACCTAATTCACTTCAATAAAGATAACTATACATGCTATTCTTGTCATGAGCATCAAGGTGTGGGGGCGCCGCGGTGCAAATTCCACTCATGTTTAGTACATGTTAACTCAAAGATTCATAGAAAAAATATAAACGTTGGACTCTGTGGTTGATTCTGTGTTAAGGTAAGGCATGTTATTCGCAATTATGTGTTGTGGCTGGGTTGTTATAGGTCTGCGTGACTCTCGATGTCTTAGGCCTAACTGAACGGAGGAATTATGGTATTCTTCTGTAGCCTGACGACGAGTAACCGTTGTTCATGTGAACTCAAAGACAGTCTGATGCTTTGTATATAGACTATTTGTGGGTGGCTGTTCCCCCCCCCCCGTTATAAAAAAAACAAGTGGCCTCCCTCAAAGTCCACGGTATAGTTCGAACATTGCACACACACACACACACACACGCACACGCACACACACACACACACACACACAAACCTGGTGGGGTATTCGTCCTTCCTGTTGATGCATATGGCCTGACCCCGGCTGTACCATTTGTTGTCATAGAACAGGCGACCATCTTCTGATCGGGCAACATGATGGTGTCTTTCTGGTTTCAACGGAGCTGATACACACATACAGTTCAGAGACCAGAAATGCTTTTCCACAAATCCCTTCAAACAGTCTTTACAGTCTATACAGGCTGATACGAAGATAGTGAACTCTTTTACACACAAACAAATATAATGCTCAAAATCCTTCTTACCATCTACTTTTACTCTATGAGGACCCACTGAAGCCATAGCCTACGGTGAATGAGGCAGTTTATTAATGACAGAGAACTAATAGCTCCTTCAAAAATGTGAATAAATAAATATAAATAGATACCTGCAAAAAGATATATGGATTTTTCAGGACACATCAGGATTTGTCTTTAGAGCAATGATCTTCAAGATGACGTCAGTCAATTTTTTGCTTATAACGATCATGTCTAATTTGTAGACATTTATTATTATCATCACTAATAGTATGCATATTATTTTATATGGAAAGTTTGTTATTTTTAATTTGTGAAAAATTAAAATATAAGATTTCTAGAATAATATGTAAGAATTGAGATAAGACATATAAATAAACAAACAGATGAAGTGAAATAACCTTTCTTATGGCAGTCCAGTCTTCGAGTATATCCAGATCTTGCAACATGTAAACAATGTATGGTCGTGGGACGGCTCAGGAAACCAATGATATAGCAATAAGGCAGCTGCCATAAACAAATAGCAAAACACTCACAAATGACTTTAGATGTGCAACACTAGATACTACCTAAAGGATATCTGACACAACGGCAGGTTTTTTCTTCTTTCCAGGACTGAGGGGATCCTTCTTTTTATTCTTCCTAGACTGCAGACCGTCATTCCACAGTTCTGGTGCAAGAACACATCAATCAATCATAAGTCTACAGATTATACAGTACGAGTTGCCATGTGTATTTTACCTGAAGTTATATCTATACTGTGTCTGTCCTCTTCCAGTCGCCTGATCTTCTCTTCCAGTTCACTCTGAACCGTGTCAAAAAGCAGGAGCTTCTCACTCTGTCATGAATATGGTATATTAACATGAAATCTCAGAAATAAATTGAACACATTGAAGAAGAAGTGTGAGAAGACTGTGAATATTAACAAAGTGTGGGGCCACCACAAATTTGGTCCTGGGCCCTGTGAATTTTACCTCCCAATGCTGACTGGCTGCCTGCATCTCACAGTCATACTTGTTTCTGACAGATTCCAAGCAGAGCTCACGATAGATACCTGGAACAATACATGTGAACAAAAAGTGAAATAAGGTGAAGACCTCTGCTTTACAGTATAGTATATCAAACATAAACAGGATGATTGTAATTCCTGTAAACGACATGGTGCCTACAGCAGAGTTTAAACACTTGAGCAACGCCATTACAAAAGCAGCATGTGTCTGGAGCTGACCTGCGACTTTGGTTCGGATCTGCATGTTCTCCTGCAGGGTGGCCAGGGGGTCGAGGTACTCCGCAGCACTGCCTGCTATCACCTCTTGCAATTTAAGATCCACCTGGCTCAGTCTCTCCTTATACAGCCTAAAGAGAGTCATAAGTCGTCTGGCGTCTTCACATGACATGTTTCAGGTTTAAATGACTGATCACTTACTGATCCTTCAGGTCTGTGAACTGCTTCTCGAGATTTGTCATCTCATCTAAACACTCCGTTCGCCTCCTCTCACAGTCTTCATCATCCATGTCTGCAAGAACATCCCCATCATCATCATTATTATTATTACTGTCCCACACTCGGAGTAAGGCTGGCTTGTCTCGAGTCTCTGTCTGTAACGTTACCTGAAGTGTCTCCATCCTCAGAGGCGGACGAGCTCACGGAGTCCTCTTCGTCGGAGCTGCTGGCCTCTTGTTCGGGATAGTCCACGTCCATTTCTTCGTGGTGATTTTCTTTTCTGTCCCGCGGGTGAACTGGCATCCTATACTAAATATTTAATACAGTAAACAACCCACGGAGACGAAGACGACACCACCGGCCGCTGTTACGGTTTAGCTGGTGACCGATCTGGTGACCAACTTCCTGGTTCAGGTCTCCGCTCCAGATCAGGGTTGCCAGTTTTTCACAACAAAACCCTCCCAATTGCTACTCAAAGCTAGCCCAATTGCTACTCAAAGCTAGCCCAAAACCCGCCCAATTGCTACGCAAAGCTAGCCCAATTGCATTTCAAGGGGGGTCCCCTCTGGTGCTAAAATACATGTTTTTTTTAGCTGGGTTCCACTGGTAAAATTCGCATTTTAGGGGCTAATTATCCCGTTATTAGGGTCGCTTCAACCCGCTGACATGAAAAACGGCCCGCGGCAACAGTGTTAAAGTAGTCCAAGTCCGCTGGAAAGCCGCGGACTTGGCAACACTGAGTCTGAACGCACAAACTGGCGTGATGTTAAGCTGTCTAATAAACGCACACTTGCTCATTACATGCTTTTGGTATTCTTGTAAAGATTACAAATTATTGGTATGATCGCCCGTAGAGGCTGAAGTACGGAAAATAAACAAAAAAGTCCGTTTGGCACGGGTTTCGAACACGCGATAGCAGAAGCTGTGCACTGAGACGCCAGCAACAAACACACTGAGCCACCATCCTGCGCTCGTTCAGCTGCGGTTTACTGCATTAAATGCAGGATTTTACTCTCGGCGTCGCAATGTGCAGCTGGCAAATATGACCGTGTTAACTTGTGTTTACCTATTATGAAAATGAACCATATTAGAACGCTGACTACATTTGATGGTTTATGACATTAAAGTACATTTCATAGACTCTCAGACAATATAAATTTGTGGCTGCTATGGTTTAATTACAAACGCTATCGTTAAACTATATTTACTACAGTAAAAACATGGTACATTTTCTTCAGAAACTATAGCTGATGTCTCATTTGATGAACGCAGTAACGTTATTTTCTCGTAGAAATACTTTGGAAGTCACTTATTTTCTTTCTTGTAGTGAAAAGATCAAATCTAGTTGAAACGCTGCTTATAAATATTACATTGTAAACGTGTTAACTTGTCACTAGATATCTCATTTGATTATAACAGTATATGAAATCTGAACGCCATTTTCTCGTCAAAATACTGCTTATAAATTACGTAAACCATTAAGTGTGAGTATCTAACGCGACACAGAGGTTGTGGGTCAGTTCATTCACTACAATCAAATAAAGAAATCAAGTGACAGTTTCCAAAGTATTTCTACGAGAAAATAACGGCAAAACAGCGTGAAAATAGCCTAACTGTGTTCATCAAATGAGACATCAGCTATAGTTTCTGCTATAAAAAAAAAACTTGTCCCTTTTAGACTTGCACTCTATTCATTTGCTGCTTGTTTTCTTTTTTAAAAAAAATACACTTGCTTTCTAAACTTTTTGTATTCTATCTGTTTTCTTCTTATTTATTATATAGTTTAAAAAACCTTGCTACGTGTACTGCGTTAAGCTAACTGAGGCTTGTTATAGCACTTGCACAGCATTGCTCTCTTGTAGATTTTGATCGCTTCCATTGTCCTTATTTGTGTGTCACGTGGTGACCACACGTCCTCTTTATATCCTGGCCGGGGTTTCTAAATTGCCTAAAATGTTTGGATTTGTTTTCCTCTTGTTTTAATACTTGCTGAAAGTAATGACTGAAAGGGAGTTTGACCAATAGCGTGCAGGCATTGTGCAAAATAGACCAATCGTGGCGCGCGAGAAGGCGGGATCTATGGAGGCAACGCGTACATATATTGTATGAGGACTGTAGAGTGCAAGTCACTAGGAAAACAAAGCCAAAACCCGGACGATTGAGAAATCCCGGCCAGGATGTGTCTGGAATAAGAGGGCTTTTAGTCACGCACAGTGAGATGTGAATGCGGCTAAATGGAGAATTCGGTTTTCAGCGTCCCCTAAACGTTTATCTCACATAAAACATGACTGTCAACCAATAGAGGGCGCTGTCTGCAAACATGTTACATTCACAATGCATTCGTTCACATTCCGTACATTGAGACAAATGTGTCTTATTATCAGGCAAGCAGTAGTAGCCTACACTGCACAAGTCCTCACAATTTTTTTTAGCTGGGTTCCACTGGTAAAATTCGCATTTTAGGGGCTAATTATCCCGTTATTAGGGTCGCTTCAACCCGCTGACATGAAAAACGGCCCGCGGCAACAGTGTTAAAGTAGTCCAAGTCCGCTGGAAAGCCGCGGACTTGGCAACACTGAGTCTGAACGCACAAACTGGCGTGATGTTAAGCTGTCTAATAAACGCACACTTGCTCATTACATGCTTTTGGTATTCTTGTAAAGATTACAAATTATTGGTATGATCGCCCGTAGAGGCTGAAGTACGGAAAATAAACAAAAAAGTCCGTTTGGCACGGGTTTCGAACACGCGATAGCAGAAGCTGTGCACTGAGACGCCAGCAACAAACACACTGAGCCACCATCCTGCGCTCGTTCAGCTGCGGTTTACTGCATTAAATGCAGGATTTTACTCTCGGCGTCGCAATGTGCAGCTGGCAAATATGACCGTGTTAACTTGTGTTTACCTATTATGAAAATGAACCATATTAGAACGCTGACTACATTTGATGGTTTATGACATTAAAGTACATTTCATAGACTCTCAGACAATATAAATTTGTGGCTGCTATGGTTTAATTACAAACGCTATCGTTAAACTATATTTACTACAGTAAAAACATGGTACATTTTCTTCAGAAACTATAGCTGATGTCTCATTTGATGAACGCAGTAACGTTATTTTCTCGTAGAAATACTTTGGAAGTCACTTATTTTCTTTCTTGTAGTGAAAAGATCAAATCTAGTTGAAACGCTGCTTATAAATATTACATTGTAAACGTGTTAACTTGTCACTAGATATCTCATTTGATTATAACAGTATATGAAATCTGAACGCCATTTTCTCGTCAAAATACTGCTTATAAATTACGTAAACCATTAAGTGTGAGTATCTAACGCGACACAGAGGTTGTGGGTCAGTTCATTCACTACAATCAAATAAAGAAATCAAGTGACAGTTTCCAAAGTATTTCTACGAGAAAATAACGGCAAAACAGCGTGAAAATAGCCTAACTGTGTTCATCAAATGAGACATCAGCTATAGTTTCTGCTATAAAAAAAAAACTTGTCCCTTTTAGACTTGCACTCTATTCATTTGCTGCTTGTTTTCTTTTAAAAAAAAATACACTTGCTTTCTAAACTTTTTGTATTCTATCTGTTTTCTTCTTATTTATTATATAGTTTAAAAAACCTTGCTACGTGTACTGCGTTAAGCTAACTGAGGCTTGTTATAGCACTTGCACAGCATTGCTCTCTTGTAGATTTTGATCGCTTCCATTGTCCTTATTTGTGTGTCACGTGGTGACCACACGTCCTCTTTATATCCTGGCCGGGGTTTCTAAATTGCCTAAAATGTTTGGATTTGTTTTCCTCTTGTTTTAATACTTGCTGAAAGTAATGACTGAAAGGGAGTTTGACCAATAGCGTGCAGGCATTGTGCAACATAGACCAATCGTGGCGCGCGAGAAGGCGGGATCTATGGAGGCAACGCGTACATATATTGTATAAGGACTGTAGAGTGCAAGTCACTAGGAAAACAAAGCCAAAACCCGGACGATTGAGAAATCCCGGCCAGGATGTGTCTGGAATAAGAGGGCTTTTAGTCACGCACAGTGAGATGTGAATGCGGCTAAATGGAGAATTCGGTTTTCAGCGTCCCCTAAACGTTTATCTCACATAAAACATGACTGTCAACCAATAGAGGGCGCTGTCTGCAAACATGTTACATTCACAATGCATTCGTTCACATTCCGTACATTGAGACAAATGTGTCTTATTATCAGGCAAGCAGTAGTAGCCTACACTGCACAAGTCCTCACAATGTAAACAGCCTTTTTTTTACCCCTACCCTTACCCCTAACCATAGCCCATCACAAAGACATCTCAAACAATGTCATCTTTGCATTAAAAATTACATAACTGAGCGAATGACACTTAATGACAGTTGTCATAAACATGCATAAAAAACCTTCATATTCATGACATGTGTCATGTCTTGATTATGTAGGTGTCATGTCATGATTATGAAGGTGTCATGTCAGTCTTATGCACACCCCTTCAAGTAAAGTGTAACCGAAATTTCTTCTGATATTTCTGTTGAAACTGAAAATATTGCTCGTTTTAAAACTTTTTATTTATAGTAACTAGAAGTGTTATTATATTTCATTTAATTTGTCACGGGCAGGGTGTACTAGAGAGCAGGCAGGACGACGAAATCAAAGGATATTTAATAAAGAAACAGGAAATCCAGACAGGGTAGACATCAACAGCCAGTGTACGGAGGAGCGGAGTCCTGAGGCGATGGTGGGTCGACACCCAACCAAGGCAGAGCCGGAGGGACGAGGGAGTCCAGTGGAGCTCGTGGATCGATGGGTGACGGTGGAGTCGAGGGAGCTAGGAGCCGAGGTGGAGCCACTGGGTTTACGGACCGAGGCGGAGTCCCAGCTTCAGAGGTCGGAGGTGGAGGTGAAGGAAACTCCAACCATGGCGACGCTGGAGGATGGCAGTCCCGCGGGGCTTGCACCACATTGATGGTGGGCTGAGGGCGAGCAGAGGGGCTGCCAGCGGTGGAGGATGCTGGAGCAGGTGGGAGGGCGGGCATTTTTGATGAGTGGGCATAAAATAACTCAAATTAAATAAAACTAAAAACTTAATAAAAGACCTATACAGACATAATAAATTCAGACATAATTTAACTAAAATTAAAATAAATAACAAATACAAATAATACAAATCAAACGACAGTAGTTTAGCAGTAATCCTAAAAAATAACACTGCCAAACACACATGCAAAAAAACAACAACTTACTTAGAGGGCGCTGTCTGCAAACATGTTACATTCACAATGCATTCGTTCACATTCCGTACATTGAGACAAATGTGTCTTATTATCAGGCAAGCAGTAGTAGCCTACACTGCACAAGTCCTCACAATGTAAACAGCCTTTTTTTTTTAAAGCATCAGTAAAATCCAAAATCATTTACTCATTCTTTTCGATTACTTGTTTTC